TATTGCATGTCTTTAACTGGTTTCTCTTTCCTGAATATTTTCTCCTGTTAACCATCTTCTTTTAATTGCAGCTCCTGTCTGTCCCGCTCGTTGTCCTTCTGGTTGGACACAGTTTGGCTCTCGTTGCTTCATTTTCTACTACCAGTCCAGGACATGGAGTGATGCAGAGGTACTGAACAGATCCTAAACTTTACTGAACGATAGCGATTATTTTAGTGTTTATTGAAGAAGAGGAGCTGTTTGATGTGTGATTACAATATGTGGGGAGTCTATACATATTCTAACCGCAACCTTAGGCAGAACAGGAAGAAACATACCTCAAACATTTCATGATTTGGTTTGTTTAGCTTCAGAACATCTTTTGCAGTTTGTGAATTAGAAGGAGATTGATAAAAAATGCTTTTGGGTTCTATTTGTTAATGTGTGGTGGAGTGATATTTATAAATCTTAGAACAACTGATATTGAATTACAGAAAACCTGCAGAGCCAAAGAAAAAAAAGAAGCAATGTGGCCCCTCTAATCTGCATAAGAAAATGAAGGAAACAGTTTTAATGGTTTTGAATAACCAAAACATTTCCCTTTTCTTCAATTAATTTAATAAGAAATGTTTTCTCATCCATTATTTTATTGTTTTTCTTTAAGGAAAAATAGCTGTTTGGCAAAAAAAAAAAGAAATCTCTGACAGGAATTTGTCAGATAAATATTATAAAATTGTTCCTTTATTACTAATATCACCTTTACCATCTCACATGCTGCTTCATATCTAATAATAATAACAATAATAATATAATGATGCTCCTGAAACTGAAGAGATCTTTGATTAAAAACCCTCTTCATTTGGTCTAAAAAGAATTATAAAATAAATAAAAAATTAAAAAAATGGATAACAGTTAAAAATCAAACCGAACTTAGAACTAAACTTGTATTCAGAGAAAGTTAGATATTTTTCTGGTGAAAAGGAATAAACTATGATGAAGCGATGTTGGGTTGAGGACCCAAAAGCAGCTGCAAGTTGGCAGAGGTGAATTTTGGTGGGTTTATTGAAGTTTACAGATACGGAGGCAGGAATCAAAGATCCAACAAAATAACACTAACCAGAACCAAG